ATAAGACTTCGCCTGTACCCTACCTGGCCGGATTCCTAACCAATAAGGAATAGATCATTGGTGAATTACGTTTGAACTTGTATACATAAAGCAAACTTCACAGACATTCCTCACATTGCATGTTACGTGAAATTGTATATTTTATTCGGTTTGACGACCACTGTACTTTCGAACTCAAATGTAAGCATATAGGTTTACACACCTTATAAAAATACAAACCTAAAACCCGGGAAGTAGTTTTCTGTAGATACAAGAGGCCTGTATGCGAGTCAATTTTACAATCGGAGATACAATCAGAATAGTCAAAAATTACAGATAATCGCTAGTCGTGTTGGGTCGTCGGACTCGAAGCTGACAAAAGATTTGACAGCAAAACAATAGCATAGAGATCAGTTCGTAGGTGTATGCGTGCACCTGTGCTAACCGCAACTTTGGCACTCGATTACCAAGTGAAGTGCCGTTTTCAGTCTTAGTCCCCAGAGGAGCCAGTTTGTCGTTCTGTAACCATTTCAGTCCACTATTGATCAACTACGTAAGCTGAGCTGACGAAGCTGTCCTTGACCATATAAGCAATGCCTGTGTTGTAGTCAGCGTATTGATGCGAATGGGAGTCAGTATGCATACATGTTGGACAATCAAAGCTGGATTCCAGTTACCTAACGAACTATATTATCTGACACTTTAAAACGTATTTTAACTCCAGTAGTGAAAACGAGACTACTAATTCTAGAATGACTATTTGGTGCCCCGGAAAACTAAAAATTAAATGAAGGTGTACATTGTTCATTCCAAGCTACGAACGAACGAGAATAAATGTGAGCAAGCAAGTTGATGTGCGGCGAGAGCGCCACAGAAGCATCCGAACATACCGATAAATGCATTGGGGACAGTCAGTTTGAGCCAGATCCTGTCTCGAATATCCAGTCCCGAGTCCGGTTGGACCATAGCTCGGATCACAGTGGCCACATCGGTGTGTACGGTCAAGGGAATTGGTTCGGAATATCTTTCGATTTCCGGTAATGAACTGGATGCGGTGACCACACTGGGCGTGACCTGATTCACGGAGAGCAGAGAGAGAGGGAAGTCAAATACAAGCGGTGAAGATTATCAGCATTTAAAGAACCAACGAGCACGATGAAATCTTCATATATCCTCTTGAACCACTACACGCCTGAATGCAAACTTTGGTTGAACAATGAACAGGTCCTCTCAAAATGTTTGAATTCGTGAAGGCATGAAAAGCGGTTAACAGACTAGTTTTATTAGTCGAAGAAATCCCCACGACATGTGAGCCAATTTCGGATGGTGTACTACCGATTCCCCCACCCGTACTTCCGGTAATGCAGGGTACAAACAGATGCACAAGGGAGAAGCAAAGTAAACAACTACAGGACTAAGAATTCATGTGTTCAGAGTAACTGGGATAAATCTAGTGCTTGAAAGGTTGGGACATTTACAAAAACTTCTCGTCACTAAAGTTGGTTTCAGCTCAAAAGTTTTTCGGTTGATGATGAGATCTTCAAAAAATAAATTCAATAAACGGTTGACATGTGACTGTTGGTTGGAATGTAGATCGTCCATGATAACTAGCAGAAATTTTCCTGTCCATTCGTTATTGGAAGCATACCAATGCACTCGAAGCTGCAACACGCAGTACGCTCTCGAAAGCCGTCATTAATGACCTTCGTGAAGCAGACGCACTATATTTCTTCAGTATTTCGCCAGGAAAGTGTAATCCACACTTGTGTTTATTCTATAGCAGCACGAATAAGGGTTTCTTCATATGAGCCATCAGTTTTAGAAGTTTGCAAGGACCTTTAGAAATTGACAATTTTCCTTTGACATTTCAGTAGTACTTGCCTTTGTGAGAGAAATTTTGATCTCTCCGAAGCAGTTTCTTGCGACGCGTGATGCATGCATTTTAGAGAATCACTATACTGCGGTCGAAGTTTGTCACAGTTGGCTTATCCCTCCCGGATTTTATTTGAACTATTGCCATGCTCACGAATTCACATCGATGTCCGATGGGGTCGTAAAAGCATTCTAGTTAACACAGTGAAGAAATTTCCCGGTAAAGGGGATAATTTTGACCAAGATAAGTTTGTACAAATTCTACGTTCAGTCAAAGTTAACGATTTAGTTGTTCTAGTGCTAAACACCGACTAAGTTTCAACGATCGGTAAAGTGCACGATGAACTACAGAGTAGAATAGTTTGGTGTCATGTGGATTTAAATGTTCAGATCTGGTGCATACTAGACTGTCGAACCTCATCTGAAGTCAACTTGCACCAGAAAAGGGCCACTTTATCACCGGAACTGACGCAAAACATATGCCAATGCAGAGTTCAGTCTTGGTGGGTACTTTTAGCGGAAGATACCATAAACAAACAAATACAGGTCACCGGCTAACGATCTGATATCGGTCACGATGAGGTGAGGCAAATAGGTTGATGATTTGTTTTAGTGGTGCTAACTTTGATTTCTTTCTTCCCCGTATGCACCGCAGAATGTCGCGCGTCCGGTGGAAAGGCGGTTATCTCAATGGATGGATAAGTGCGTGCGGACGAATCTGGGCCTGATCACTCCCTCGCCCCGCCTCGGTCTGTAATAAGGCACGGCCTAGTTAGCTTTGAATGTGTGTAATAGCGGGTAGCGATGATGACGCCGACGAACGCGGTTGTGCACACGTGAGTGCATGACTGAACGCTTCACGGTCGGATTCTCCTTTTCGGTCAAATCCACTTGGAAAGATGCTGCGGGGAGCGTGCCGATAAAAGCACAATTGCAAACAGTTGATTCAGATATACGTAAGTAATCGGCAACGCAAAGGCGACTGCTGCACATCCAGGTTGTCTTGGGCTTACTGACGCATGGTGGAAAAAACAACATTCACGTTGAGCGGCGGCAAGTGGTTAAAACAGTAGGGAATTCGGTGGTAGGGAAACCAAATAACAAACATAAACCAATGGCTGATGTCAGAAAGATGAGTGCAAACAGTATTGACCAGGTAACAATTGTTAGACCATTTCAGACAAAGACAGTCAATCAACCGGTCAATGAGTCAAGTGGCGGTCTGCTGCATCAAACGACTGGTAAAACTTGTTCAGCAACCTATGAAAAAGTGCGTAATGGTGTCAGGTCTACAATAGACCTCACAGGTAAGCCTCAAGTGATAAAGAGCTACACCTGCATTGTGTATAGAGAGAGGAAATCACCGTTGCGAATGTCAACAAAAACGCGAATCATAGCTCGGTTGTGAGAATCAATTATCATATTCGAATGAGGGGTATAACCGGGAACTAAAATGCGAAAGTTGAAACATCATTAGATGAAACTAATCAACTTCAGGTAGGAATACGAAATATATTAATGAGATCGAAAAACACCCAGATTACAATACTGAAATAAATGGTTACACAATGATAAGTGTAGTTTGTTAATGTTTTTGCAAGAAATATAATACTTCTCGTATATAACCAAAGTGGGATCAATGCACACAACTGGCCGATCATGTAAACGAGATGGAACCCTACCGACCCCGAAGAACACGTGGCCTGTCTGATGCGTTAAACATTGTATCTTTTCTTTTTTTATGACTACCTCCTCGTAGAGGATGAATCGACTTCGTGAATATGTCAGATGACTGCTTACTAAGCGTGGGGGTTGATGATGAAGTCGATACAGGTGGCGATTTTATCCCGGTTCATTAGTCAAACTACGTAGACCTAGAGCGGACCAAGACGTTCTAGCTCGGACTTCACCGTTTACCCTTGTTTTAACTCCCTTATATGACCATGTAGGTGCAATTTTCAAGGGCGTCTCAAGCACCGTTTGACGGTATATCTCTGGCTTTTGTACAAGTATGACAGCAAGGTAACATACAACAATCTCAGTGCGATACTTTTACAGGTCTTGGAAACCCCTAACCTGGTTTATAGCACTTGCTGTGTAGTTTACTAGGTGTGGCCGCTAAAAATTTGAAAGCACTTATCAAAGCCTTGTGTAAGATCTGAGTTAAATGAAAACCAAACCTGCAGGAATACTAGTAAGGGACATATTTAGAAGTACCACGTCCCCCTATCGCTCACACAATATACACTAATGATTCTGAAGACTCACAATAAAGTACTTTCATTTGATCTGAAACGCATAAAATTTATCCTTAATTTACTCAGCTGCAGGCTATCCCCTTACACAATTGAAGTATAGTTCCAGTTAAACTTACGTGAGCAGCATAGGCCTGAGGGATCATCATGTTCGACATCGGATAGAATGGGGCGCGGGAAAGTTGCGGTACCTGTGTATGAGATGGTTGGGGTACAAGGTGTTGTTCCGGTTGGCTGTGCTGCTGCGACTTGTGTTGTTGTTGCTGTTGATGCTGTGTGGCAGCAAGCAACGCAGCCATATTGTACGCAGCTGCACTCGTGCCTAGGGGCATCGAGGTTTGACCGGAAGTGAGCGTGCCCATACTCATCCCTGGCGTGAGGCCAGCACCACCACCCGAAGGACTGAGAGTCGAACTAGACTCACCACCAGAAGATGCACCGGTGATGGGAGTGCCGTTATGAATGCCCTGTGGCTCACCGGATCCAGGGGGACCATCGGTCATGGCATTGGTGTGAAGAACCCATGCACGCGGATCAATCGGACGTACAGGTTCCTGTCGAGGAATGGTGAAGTAACCACTGCGCGGATTCGGATCCCAGCATTTAGCTACAACCAAAGTAATGGGACTGAAAACGGGAAGATATTGATTACTAACGAGTGAACAAGTGACTGAACTCTTCAAGAGAGTTTCTGGGACGCCTCACTACAATGAACAAAACTCATAATTCGTTGTGTAAATAAACGATATATGTGGGATTACCGATAAACTAAAACTTTATGATGACAGACTGAAGTTTGAGGATGAAAAACTGACCGTACATGAGAGAAAACAAATCGAAATCGATCAAACTTGAAGCAAAAACTGTAACCAACTAATTAAGATGTGATTGACTAGTTTAGCACGTGGAATAGAGGGGAGGGATTTACTTCCAGGAGCAATATCGTTATCTCCCAACTCGTTATCGTTATCTCTCTCCTCTCAGATACACAAACAACTACAATCAATAATTCCCGACGATTTCGAGTGTTTTTAATAGCAAGCCATTAATCAAGGGTCTTCACAGACAAATGCAACAAATATTGAGATTGCGCAAGGCAGTTGAAATGTGGATCGAAACCTGTGTGATAACACGAGGAAAATCGCGTAAACCATGTCAGCACGATCGTCCGTTTGCACAGGTGTCCACATGTAAAGTATATCAAAAGTGTATAGACCATCAATCTTTTACTCCTAATCAATTGAGTGAACGTTTCACAAAGTTCGTCCTCGATGGAGTGAAACAGGGTATTTTCAATTCGGAAATGCATGAAAATTTAGATTATTTAAAATCGGTTCTCAAATATATCAAAGTAAAGTGCATCAGGAAGGAATGAGGCACAACACCCTCGCGGTCTGTTCGTTAGCCATTGCAACACCGGGTTGATTAACCATGGTGTCAGGTGAGCATGTGTGATCGGTAATCACCATTCTATGATGACCAACAGACTGTTAGAAAATGCTACCTTTCGAAAACCAGTGCAGTAGACATTTGGACAAATATAATCACAGAAGTGCCAGATAAGTCAGGTGGTTTCTTAGGATTTGCATTCGATTGGGCCTCGATTATAGTGAGCTAAAAGCCATGGTTGTTGGAATGATCAATCAGATGGAGTGCGACCTAGCGACGGGAGTGATAATTTCCATTCCTATTAGCATGAAATCTTACAGGAAAAACTCATTAGTGAACAACATAACCAACGAGGATTCTTAATAGACTGTGGTGCGTTTTGCGCCGGTCGGAGGTCAGTGAGTGGTATTTGGTTACAGTTTGCCCAGTTCCCAAACACCTGTCAGGAGTGGCACAAACTTGACCACGAAGAAAAATTTCAGATCACGAAAAGTACTTTAGCACGTGCAACCCCGCAAGAAAACAAGAATCCACAGAAGGCTTGGCAATCGCACCAGGGTCAACGTTACTCGTTCCGACGAATTCTCGGCCGGCAGAAAGTACGCCAGTGTTGAGAAATGAAACACTATCATCCCTGGGACTAGTGAATCATTACGATGCTTTTGTGTAGCAAATCCATTACGTACATGGACTGCTGGATGAGCTTCTGACGAAGGATAGTCACTGGAATTGGTATTGGTATTGGAATGCCAGAATGCTTTTTGAGGTCATACTGCCTTCTGACCTGCTATTACCGCACTGCAATCCGAAACCATTGGCAGTTCACCTGGGGGAGATGGCTAAAAATCCTGATTCCAAACCAAACAGGAAGAAGCTTATGAACCACCCACACCTTTCTGGTCGTAAAACGGGTCACCGGCTCCATTGGGCATCGAGGTGCATTGGGCCCCTTGGACGTTTGACCCCATCCGAAGGGCGTATGATCCGATGAACCGGACACCGGTCCCCAATGGATTGCGGACTATGAGTTCCGTCCTGCTGTCTTGCAGGTCAGCCTTCGAGTGAGGACCCCGAGGTTATCCCCCTTCTTCGGCCAGGGCAACCGGGAAGTAACATGCCCAAACAACTTATGAACAAACATTATATATTTCCAAGTTTTACGCTCTAACTACTTATGCGCTCTTTGACCGAGGTGTTGGGGGTCGGCTCCACAGGTTTCCACATTACCACACCAACAGAGCACACCCTTTCCTTTCCTCAATTATTGAACTTTCTTATTCTCGGTTTAATGCCTATTATTTCGGGTCTCCAACGGCAGAAACCATAGGCTTGTTCCCATGCGAAAGAAACAAGCTTCTGATTAGGTTATTCCGAAAAAAGTACTCGCTCCCCGGTCGCAGATGAAGTTAGGGATCTCCAACGTTCGAACACTTATACAAGTTGGGACTCAGACAACACTCGCACACTGGAAACGCTTGCTACCTTACTGAGTCACGGCTACAGGATTAGAGCACCGTACTGCAACTCGCTTCACCGTCTCCGGATTCTGCAAGCTCGTTCATCCTCTGCCCCTCCGGAGATCCGATGGCAGAGGTCGCTGGTCAGGTCGGCGTGGGGATAGCACTAAGTGAACGTGCAGAAGCAGTTTTACTCGACTGGATTCTAATCAATACTCGACTCTGCGTCATCCGTCTAAAAGGATCGGTGAGTGCATCTCGTAATGGGACAAAAAACTCTGTCTGTTCGTCATTGTGGCTTATGCACCGACGAACTGAAGTGCCGACAAAAAAAAACGACATCTACCATCAGCTCACCACCCTCCTCTACAGTAGACGACACACTGACATCGTGATACTAGCTGGCGAAATGAACGCTGACGAAACCTCACTT